ACTTAAGACATGTTTACATGCTGTGACAGTTCTGCACTTTTTCCATGGATCAGATGAGATGACCTAGGGAATTCTGGGAGCATTTCTGGAAGCATTGCTGGTAATACTGACTTTACCAGGAAGAACTAAAGTATACACAGAAGTGAGTGTCATCTATGGAAATGTGCCCCACTCACTGCCCTGCATAGAAGAGTGTCCACTGTCTCCAGTGCATATACCTGGTCATCAGATTAAAGGGGCTGAACTCTAGCCCTTCCATTCCCCAGCTGTGTACCCTGGACAAAAGATGTGACCTCTCTGAATCCAGGACACAAGATATGACACACATATAAAGGATACTTATTAAACAACTGAATAATTATTAAGAGATTATAAGGAACATGCAAGTCCTGGTTGTTCATCAGAGGAATGAAATAACTGATAAGACTCCCTCAGCTATGTCCCCTCCAGACACATAGTTTGGTGACTAAGCTCTGAATGGAAAACTAGGGCATCCAGGAAACTGGGGGCCTCAGAGCTCACCTCTCCCCAGCCCAGTCCTGAACACCAAAGGGAGAACCTAGGACAGTAGTCCTAGAGGACACTAGGACATAATGCCCAGGAGTCCCTGCTACAATCCAAAGTGCACACTTCCAGGTCACGTGATCAGAGTTCATGGAGTTACATGTAATAAATGACATATGTGCTTCCCTCCCCTTTTCTGAGTATCTGATCTCAGCTGAGCACAACATGGGGTGTCTGTGGGGTACTCTTCAAAAGGGTGGAGTTTCACATTCACTCATAAACACCTGGGAAGTCTGCCTGGGAACAAGCCATGACCAACCAGCCCCTGAAAACCCTGTGAGCCAGCTCTCCTCTGACGCTCAGAGTCACAGCTGACGTGACAGCGACTAGTCCTGGTGCCCAGAAGATGTGCACTAATGAAGTCAAGTGTAGTTCATCTTTCTAGGTAAGCCGTATGAAGGGTCCAGGCTGTCTGCTCTGTGGGAGGTGGGCTTTGATGGGAAGAGCAGGGAAATGGCCTCATCAGGGCAGGTGGAAAGGCTTGGGCCACCCACAGAGTCCACACGGACACTGTGGCAGGGTCAGGGGAGGAGGTGGCTCCGCACATGCTAATCCAGGGACGGGCTCAATTGTGCAGAACCCATGGGTTCCTGGCTCTCAGTTCCTATGTCATTGGTACTTGCGGGGGACATCTCTTTTCTCCCCAACTCAGGGTCCTCCTGCAATGCCCTGCTCAGTATGGCCGTCAGAGGGTCCCACAGGCTACTTCCACTTTCACTTCCCACAAGGAAGTAGATCACGGGGTTGGCACTGCCGCTCAAGGCTGAGGTGATTTGGGTCAAGTCATCTAACAGAAAATGATACCAACAAAGCTCTCCTGGGATCCTGTACATGAGCGTCCAGTCGATGCCATAGGGCAGAGAACAGACCACAAACACCAGAACCGAGACCAGAACGATCACACACAGCCTGGAGGATCGCCGGCGCCACGCGCGGGGTCTTCTCAGGGTCTGCACAGAGAGGACGACACTGGAGAGGATCATAACAGGTGTGAAGACCCCCAGAAAGAGAATGCTAAGGAAAGTTAACAGGTTTTTCAATTCCTCAGAATGATTATACGCCTCATCAAAGTTAAAGTAAGATACTATTGTGATAACCAGGAGATTCAGCCCCCAGAGCAGGGAGCACACCACGGTGGACAGGTGTCGGGGTCTGCGGACCTTGTACCAGATGGGGAAGAGGACGGACAGACAGCGCTGGACGCTGATGGTGGTCAAGAAGCTCAGGCTGGTAACGTATGCAAACATCATAACACCAGTGAAGGCAGCAATTGTTACCCAGTTCAGGTGGAAATATTCTGCATATTCCTTAATGAACAGGAAGAGGAGGAAGAGGAAGTCAGCCACTGCCAGGTTGAGGACATAGACAGAGAAGGGGTTCCTTTGCACGCGGAAGCCCAGCAGCCAGATGACCACACCATTGCCCACCATCCCACACACGCAGGTGAGCAGGGTCAGGACCTGGAGCACCTGATAGGCTGTGCCGAAAAGATACATCAGGGGCTGCGCTCGATCAGGTCTGCGGTCTCACTGTTGTTCGGTGTCTGGTCTATCTCTAAGAAAAGAAAGCAGATCAACATGAATGTCTGTGCCGCAGCAACCAAGCTGTTCCCGCACAACTTCAGGTCCCCACTCCCCTCACCGTGTAACATCCTTTGTGTCTCTCAGTCCAGGTCCTTTGAGCAGCAGCCAACGACCAGGAGGCCTCCCGCCTTCCCACAGCCCTGCCTGTGCTCAGCCTCCCTCTGCCCCCAACCCCACCAGGACGGGTGTGAGATTGTTAGACAGACTTCATCACGTTAGAATAATTCTCCTATGTTTAGTTTTATATTTGTTTCTCAAATCAGGAAGAATATTTCTTTTTCATCAAATCTTTTAGAATTGGTTGATATAATTTTTCTCATGTAACATTCAAACATTATTATTCAGGGTTGGTTTTTACTTTTTTAAATTGAACCCTGACTACCAAGAGTCCTGTCCTGTGGGGTCAACGGAAGGGATTCAGGGAGAGTGGAGACCGGCGTTAGAAGAAGAGGGCAGGTGTGAGGAGGGAGGGATGGAGAAAATGGGAAAGGTCGGTGGGGACTGAAAAGACCAGCAAATGACGGGCATCGTCCAATGTGCTTAATTTCATAAAAGTGCAAAGCAATGGTTTTATAACACACAATGTGAATGAAGAATAGTGGGAAACACAATGTATGTTAACTTTCTATGTAAAATAATATAAAGTCAAATTAAAAAAATAACTACTAAAAGAAAAAATAGAGGTCAATCGGGGCCAAGAAGCTTAGCGAGGGTGATGGCCGTTCCTAGGGTCCTGGTCTCTCGGTGACCATGCAAAGGAGGCCAGTACTGGACCCGAGTGTAGAAAGGCGTCTAGAGAAGAGGAGCCCTGAGCCCACGGGAAGGAAGCCAGGACCTGAGACGCTGTAGAGCAACTGCGCATGCGCACACCCCTGCCTGCGCTGAGACCTGAGTCCTCACTGTCCGGTGTCTCAGGGTCGGGTTAGTCTCGTGAGGGCTCAGCACACGCTTGTTGTTGTTGTTGTTGTGACTCACTAAACAGTCCGAGCTGACTCACAGCTGACCCCCAGAGGGTTTCCGGCGGCAGAAAGTCACCCGGGAGGGGACTGCCCGTCCTTCTCTTACTGACCACCTGGTGGGTTTGAACCATGAGGCTTTGGTTTAGCGGTGCAACCACTTAGCACTAAGCCCCGGAGCTCCCGGGAACACCAGACAAGCAACAGATGTTGACTGAGCCCCGAGGCTTCAGGCTTTAGGACGATTTCTCCAATCTGAACTTTCTCTTCCCAAGTGGAGTTCAGGGCATAGGAGTCTGTCTGTGTCCACACACCATAGTACTGGCATCAGTGCTTACCTATGGCTGGCCTGACACACTGATTGACAAAGGACAGACATGCTACTCAGTCCTGCCAGCCATATCGTTTCATGCTTCGTTGGGCTCTTAAGGATAGAAGGTTCTGACCTTGAACCTTCCTGTTCCCATTCCACTCCCACCCTCCTCTGTGGAAAGTCCTGTCTTCTCATGCACCCTCCCAGGTAATCAAGGGGGAAGAAGATCTTAGAGAGGACCGGATAGGAAGGGACATAACCATCCCTTATGTGGGAATGGTTCCTCTCCCGTTCCTGGAAGCGCTTTTCTTCTAATTCTGACACTTGGCAGAAGGAATACGCTCTGGTCCTCCTGGTTGTGGTCCTGGAGGGTCACAGAAGATGGGGATACAGAAATGGATCATTAAAAATGTCTGTCACAGCCTTGAGAATAGGTGACCCCAGCGTGAATGATCTTAGATAAGGACCTCTTTAATTCTGTTCCTAGCGCCATGCTGGCCTCACCCTGTACCAGTTCTTGTTCCAGAGTTGACCAAGATTCTGGGTGGGCCAGCTGCTTTACGAGTAGAAACAGCCACTTCTTTCTAATGTGGGAGGTAGGTTTTGTCATCTACTTGACGTATGAGACAAGGGCTCAGGAAGGTCCCAATATTTCCATAGTTCCTTGGGTAGCACCTGGCAAAGCAGGACTCTCAGTTGAATTACTAAGCCTGTAACACTCCTGCTATGACCATCTGTTCTCTATCCACAAGAGGAACTCAGAGGACTCACCTTCCATGTTCTCCATCAAGTGGGAGACATTCATGCTCCACTACTCCAGGTCACCTGGTCTCAGGGTGGTGTTAGCACTTAAACAGCTGTTGGACAGTCTCCTTCCTGGGCCAGCACAGTTCAGCCTGAGTCCTTCCTAATTCCCAGCCAAGGCTGCCCTGGGCTTCTTCTCTACACTTGAGCTCTGTCTCCAGAACCGGAGAATCTTTGCATGGATCCCTCTGAGAACTGAAAGGGCACATTTGGTGTAAGAGCAGGGAGATGGGATGAAATATCAAGCAGGGTGTATAAATGCAGAAGCCTCCTGGGGTGGGGACTAATGTATCTGACCACACAGCTTGCCTGGGGAAGGTGGGGTGCAGGGAAATGGAGGAAGAGAATGATGCCTAACAGGACCTTCTTTGTACAGCCCTCATGGGAGATCCAGGCAGGCCTCTGAGCATTAGCAGATAGGGCATCAGAGTTGGGCTGCAGAGGAGGTTTTGTCTCAACAGAGGACGCCATTGCAACCACTCCTAGTTGATCACATGGACACCCCACGATGAGGTACTGCTCACAAGGGTCACATGGAGCTTTGAAGGGATTACATTTCAGATGTTGGAAAAAAGTGTTGACTATCCCACAGACTGAACAGATCTGTCAGAGAGAGGGAACAGCCTGAACGCGTCTTGAAGGCGAAGATGAGGAAGCTTTGTTTTACATACTTCAGGCATGTTCCTAGGAGAGGCTATTCCTTGGAGCAGAACACCATGCTTGGAAAGGTGGAGGGTTGCTGAGAGGAAGACCCTTAGCCAGGTGGATTGGCACAGTGACTGCTGGATGGCCTGAAGCGTGTCAGAAATGGAGAGGATGGTACAGGATAGAACCGGGTTCACAAGTCATTCATAGGACCATCATGTGTCATATTTGGCTCAACAACTCCCAAAACCCATGAAACCATTATTTGTGGTTCACAGAATTCTTCGTGTTTAGTGGATTATCATCCACTAATCCAGATTAGACCACCTCTCTGAGCCTCTGCACCCTCACTGAGGGCCTACCATCCCTTCTTGGCCTGGTAAGATCCCTGATGAGATGAGATGACCTAGAAGACACACAGCAGGAAAAAGGGACCAATTAGTCCATCCTGCTTGATGACTGTCCCCCAAAATGAAAGTGTGCGCTGTTTCATGCTAAGTAATTAAGAGCCCAGGTGTAACAGATTACCCAAGAAGAGTGATACATTGGCTTCCGCTGACATCTGAGGGTGTGATGTTAGCATAAATGTTGGCTCTTTTTTGCAGCTATTATAGGTAGATCCTCTCATGTCTCTAGGAATCTCTGCTGCAGACGCATTGTCTTGCAAATCAGTCCGGTCTTACAAATTATTAACAACTGTGGGACTAGGATAAGAGAAAGTGTGCTTCTCACACTGGGGAGCAGACTTGAAGTGAGCCAGCCTTGTGGTGGCAAGACTTGAGGGAGATCAGAGCAGACTTATTGGTGAGACCCTCGTGATAGTGTTGGAGAGACTGCGGTATTGCTGTGGAGAAGCTGTGGCAAGGTGTGACCTGAGGCTTTCTGCATTTATCCTGGCCACAGTTAAAGGTTTTTGCCATTTTTGCTGGATACTTGAAGGAGAAGATGATTTATAACTGGTCTGGGACGAGCCTTGCTGGATGATTTGGATTTGACTGCTGAAGTGAAACCGGAGCCTATACTTAATGAATGAAGAATTGTGCCTTGGAACTGTTGGGCTAAAGTCAGAACTTGTATTGTGAGATATTCTTTGACTCCTCTACTCATTTCCCTAACAAATTCTTTTCTCAATTCAATAACTGTGAGTCAGCAATGAGTAAATGAACTTCTTGCTGTCGTAGTTCTAGAGGCACCTTGAGGCGGGGCTATGGGCTCTTTATCTACTTTCTGCTCTGCTGGCCGCGAGAGGCTCTGATATTCTCACTCTCACTGGTCTATTCAGAGAGACATTCACAGCCTTGTGCCCCAAAGCCCCTTTTCCTCTTAGTTAGACAGAGGGCCATTGCTTCCACAGAGCAGATGTTAAGTCACTAAGCCTTGGAGAAGTTTCTAGGAGGGTCCTGTGGAGAAGTGCAATCACCTTGCAGAAAGCAGTTAACTTCGCTTAAATCTTAGGCTTTTGAGCAAGGACTGTGCAGACCAAGTGGGACCAGAAGGCATGACCACGTGAAACCAAAAAGAACCTATCATTCAGAGGCTCAACAGCTTCCCGATTGGCTGAACACTTGCTCTCAGGAGGGTTATGCAATCCTGTAGACGTGAAAGCTCTGAATGAGAGCCCTCCTACACCTTGTCCTGTGCATCTCTTTGTGTTGCTTCCAGTTGTAATTGATTGCGTACATAAGCTTGCTGTACTCTGGGTGCAGCTCTTTGAGTCCTTCCAGCAAATCATCAGACACAAGCACCAGGACTCGGCAAGGAATTCCGTCTTGGCGCTAGCTCATTGAGATCACTGAAAGTAGAGAGACAAAGAACTAGGAGTACATTGAGGAAATGGGGTGTCAGAGAAACCCTAAGCCTGAGAACAAAGGACGTCCCCTGTAGTTCTTTGCTCAGTTCTGTGAACAGAAGAGTGTGTCTACTCTGAAGACTCCATCAGCAAGGGTCTTCTTCAGCGCTGATGTGGATGTGGGCAAGACAATGTTCCTTGCAGACTGTTGGACTGATGGCTGTTAGTCAGAGGTTGCCTCAATTCCTTGCTACATGGACCCCAAAGTATGGCAGCTCATGGGGAAGCCAGCAAAGGAAAGAGGACCCAGGAGATCAGACACACAGGTGTTGTGCTGGACACTTGCATTGGAGACCCAAACCCTGTCCTGACACCCTGCGCCTTCATCTCTGTGGTAAAGCTCTGTTTCCCAATTATCATTGCTCCTTCTACTAAGAAATCTACATGACAAAGAGGTCCAACTACCTAAAGTAGTCATTGTTGTTAAGTGTCATTGAATAGAGTATTACTAATAATGACCCTGTGAACAAAAGACCTGACCCTGCTCTATCCTGTGCCATCCTCATACTTCCTGACACACAAGAGCCCATTGCAGCAGCCACCGTGTCAGTCAACCTGGTTGAGCATCTTCTCCTTCACTGACCCTCCACCCTTCCCAGCATCACATCCTTCTCCAAGGAATAGTACCTCCCAAAGAGACACACAAGCCACCTGTATCACCTGGCCTCTGAGACACAGTTCTGGGCAAATTGGTGCTTGGCTGATGCTCTAGGAAGGACTTGTGAGATGGAGAATCACCTTACACAAAACAATTTGACCCTGGTTTCAGCTTTTCTCAAGTGGACCTCATACCTTAGGCTAATCAGCAGAGACTGGCCACACCAAGAGCAACAGGAGGTACGATGTCATCTGCCAAAACCACATTAGTGGGGTCATTGAGAGCAGATAACTTGGTAGCTCAGAGGGCAATCTAGTTTCTGAAGACATCTGCTCTCAGAGAGTGACTTGCTTCCTTAGAACCTTACCCTGTGTATCTCTTCGTGTCTTTGTTGGCTATAATGGAGCTTTGTTCTTAAGTTTGGTATACTTTGCATGAAGCTCTGTGAGTCCTTCCAGACAATCATTAGACCAAAGCATCAGGATTCATGAAGTGGCTAGGAGTTGTTACTAGCTCATGGAACTCACCAAAAGCAAAGAGGCAAAGAACTAGTAGGGAATGGAAAGGATGTCGGTGTCAGTGACAGGTCTGGAAAACCCAAACCTGTCATCAAAGGGCTCATCCTGTAGTTCTAGCCTCTGGCCTCTCTTCCTGTCACTTCTGAAGGCTTTACCAAGAGAGTCTATGCTTCCATGCTCATGTGCTGTTAGAAGGACACTTGCTTCTTGTACATCCTCAGACTGTTGGCAGAGGCCACACTCAGTTCTTTGCCACATGGTCCCCTAACATATAGCAGATCATCTTAAAGCTAGAAAACGAAGGGTTGGTTGCTGGTCACTTGCATTGGGAGCTCATATCCTGTTCCTAGAATACCTTGGACCCTCAGGCCCATGATTTATTACCATCTTCCCTTTATACAGTAGTCCAGTGGTGAGGATTTTTGTTTTCTTGATGTTGAGATATAATCTATATTGAAGGCTGTAATCTTTGATCATCTGTACCACATGTTTCAAATCTTCTTTTCTTTCAGCAAGAATACAGATTGACTAGGATATAGAGAAGGGATAGAAATCTGATGTACATCCACCCTGATTTTAAAGCCTACAGTGCTTTCATTATGGATTGTATCTCAACATCAATAGAACAAAAAACCTCCCCACTGGACCAACAGGCAATATCATTATGTTGTTGTTAGGTGCTGTTGAGTTGACTACAACTCACAGTGACCTTATGAACAATAAATATAAAGCTTGTCCCTTCCTCTGCTCTCCTCATTATCATAGTCACTGTGTCGGTTCATCTAATAGAGGCTCTTCCTGTCTTTCACTGACCTTTCTCAGCATGATTTTTCTCCCCAGTGACTGCTTCCTCTTGAAAATATGCCCAAAGTAAGTGAGATGATGTTTCACCATCCTTGTCTCTAAGGAACATTCTGGTTGCACTTCCTTCAAGACTGACTGACTTGTACTGTTGGCAGTTTTGGAGATACTCAATGCTTCCTGCATCCTTCAAGATTTTGCCTATAGAACTCTGCAGTATTGCAACTCAAGGTTGAATTTGTTCTTCAGTTCTGTCAGCTTGAGAAATGTCAAGTGCATTCTCTCTTTTTGGTTTTCTAAGTACAGGTCTTTGCACACTTCATTGCAACACTTTGTTTTGTCTTCACAAACTGTTGAAATCATCTGTTCAGTTTTCTTACCTCAGTATTCCTTCTGTTTTGTTTTGGCTTCTTTTCATTCCAATGCAAATTTCAGAGTCTCCTCTGAGTTACATTTTTTTGTATTGTTTTTTTGTTTTGTTGTTTACCATTTATTTCTTCCCTGTTTTAGTAAAGGCCTTTTGCTTTCTAACTGTATTATGTCCTTCCACAACTCATCTGATCTTTGGTCATCCATGTCCAATGTACCAA